CTTCGCAATTAAGACTTTGATGGGATTGGGGAGGGCCGTTTTCAACATGTGTCTCTCGCCTTAGCGACGCGCACGTTCGTTTCAAATATGAAGGAGAGCTTCGCGGATTGAGGGCGGCTCCTTTTCAAAGCGTTGCTCTCGCCATAACGCCGCGCGGGGTCGCTTCAAACAAATGCAAGAGTTCCATTGGCTCCCATGGCGGGCGTACCAGAAATGGTGTTTTGGAACGGTCCAGGACCGACAAGACTCATGATCGCCAACCAGTAACAGTCAGGTTGGCTCGTGGCGCTGGAGTCCTCAGCCTGTTTTTTCCTCTGGCACGCTTCGAGATGTTCACACGGCTGTCCCTCGACTATGAAAAGGGACCTTGGAGGGAGAGTGCATGTGAATATCATTGATGGGTTGTTGGTTGAAACTGGTTATTTTCCTCTTATTCCTGCTGCTCCTCCTCCTCCCCTTCCTCTTCCTCCTTCATCCTCTCCCCCCTTTCCTCTCTCTTCTCCCCTCCTCCTCCTCTTCCTGCACCTCCTCCTCCTTCTCGTCCTCCTGCTCCTGCACCACCTCCTCCTTCTCCCATCCCTCGTCCTCGTCCTCGTCATTCTCCTCGTGTTCCCCTTCATCGCTTCTCGTTCCTCGCTCCTCGCTCCTTCTCCTCCTCGTCCTTCTCTTCCTCATCCGCCCCCTCGTCCTCCTCCTCCTCCTCTTCCTCCTCCTCCTCCTCCTCCTCCTCCTCCTCCTCCTCCTCCTCCTCCCCCTCCTCCCCTCTCCTCCCTTTCGTGCCCATCCCCCTCCTCCCCATCGTCCTCCTCATGCTCCGCCTCCTTCTCCTGTTCCTCCCTTCCTCCTCCTCCACCTCCTCCTCCTCCTCCTGCTCTCGTTCCTACTCCTACTCCTCCCCCTCCCGACGCTGGTGGCGCGCGAATCCACAAAGGATGTTGCCATCTTTCATCCCCCTCCTCCTCCTCCAACTCCTCCTCCATTCCTCCTCCTCCTACTTCCCCCCCTCTTTTCCCATCGCCCCCCACCTCCTAATCCCCACCCTCCTCTTCGTCCTCGTCCGCGTCGTCCTCCTCCTTTTTTTTGGCAGCAACTCCCATGCCTCAGAGAAGCCCCTGAGGCCTCGCCCAGCGACAAGAACATGCCGTGCAAGAGGGATGACACGGGGAGAGAGGAGTGACACACCTCCTTGATGCACAGAAAACGTAGGTCGCAGAGCGAGGCACCCCCGCGACGAACGTGATCAACATTCGCATCAACGAAACGACAATTATTATGAAAATCGAGATGCCGAAAACACACCCGAGAAGCGTTGTTCGATGTCGGTTTGCGCTGCCACATACAATACGATCGACTCGTAACAGGAAACCCATGCTCCGCACGAGAAAAAAATGAACCACAACTGTCGCAGAGTGCCGTAAGCCTAACGCCAGAAATATCTTTAATATACAACCATGCCTGGAAACACAAATGCGAGCCCGAGGGAAACCGTTATGTACCGAAGTCGCTGAAGTCATACTCGTTGAGCGGTTCGTCGTCATCCTCCGGATCGCAGGCAACGACACAAGACGATGGGAAGCCCGCCCCGCCAGTCGAGGACGTCAGCCGCATCCCAGCAGAAGAACAGGACGATGAGAAAAACAGGGCTGATGAAGAGGCACCACCGTTGGCGAAGAGGAGACCTTCACCAAGGTCCACTGGCAAGCCCACTGGCCCCCACGCGCTGGCTGTAGGCGGCGGCTGCTCAGCGCCGCGGGCAGTCCCCCGCAGGGGCCCAGAAGCCGCGGTGCCTGAACCATCACCCTCATCGTCTCAGCAGCGAACGCCCGAGCAGGGGGAGGGCCGAGGAAGTCCGACGCCAACGCAGATCGGGTCGGTGGCGACGCCCCGCATCGAGCGCAGAACGGCACCAGGGAAAACGACCGCCCCGCACGTGCTGCATGCCATCCAGCCAGCGGCGGCGGCGGGAGTGGGCGGAACCACGACAGCTCCATCTCCAGCCCCAGCACCCAGCGGCACGAAGGCGACGGCATCGGCTCGCATGGCGAATCCTTCGACGGCAGGACCAGCAGCAGCAGCGTGATGTCCCAGCCTGGGCCCCGCTGCTGCCCAAGCGAGCTCTACTGGAAAGCAGCTACAAAGCCGTTCGCTGGAACGCAGGCAGCGTGCCACACCGCATTCCTCCTCCTACGGGCTCCCCCAGGGACAGGCTGGCTGCGCGACAGGAGCCGCAGCGACTGCCTGGCCGCAATATCCCTGTCCTGCCGGGAGCCTGGCTCGCCCACGCAAGCACGAGCGCCGAGGGCAGCCTCGAGGACGGCCCGACCCCTGCGACGAGCGGCACGGCAAGCGGAAGACGGCCCAAAGAGGTATATCTCGGTTGACCTTGTCGAGCTGGGCCGCCACGAACTCGGGCAGCCCCCCGCAGCGAAGACAGCACCAGCGGCGGCCCCTTGCACCATCGCGAACGCTTGAACAATAGGGTTTTCGCTCGCTGGTGAGC